TGACCACGAATGTGTATTGAGTGTAAGCATGTGTATGTGACCATGAATATGTGAGCATGAGTGTGAATGTAACCATGAGTGTGTCAGCATGTATGGGAGCATGTGCACGTGAATGCACCTGAATGTGTGTGTGAACATGTGAGCATGTGTGCGTGTACATTAGTGCCAGTGTATGTGAGTATGCACGCATGTGTGAGCATGTGTGAATGCGTGGGCGTGTGTGTGAGCCTGTGAGCGTCACTCTGAGTGTGCACATGTCGGTGAGCATCAGTGCATGTGAATGTGTGTGCATGGGAGCATGAGCGTGTGTGTGCTGAGTGTGAGTGGGGTGCGCAGGAGTGCGTGTGAGCGTGCGTGTGCTGAGTGTGAGTGGGTGCGCAGGAGTGCGTGTGAGCGTGCGTGTGAGTTTGTGAATGTGGGTGAGTTTGAGAGTGTGTACGTGTGTGCGAGGCGCGAGTGTGAGCGCGTGAGGGGGTGTGAGCGTGCATGCGTGTGCGTGCGTGTGCGTGCATGTGAGCGTGCGTGCATGTGCGTGCGTGAGCATGCGTGCATGTGAGCGTGCGTTCATGTGCGTGCGTGAGCGTGCGTGCATGTGAGCGTGAGCGCGCACTGACGCGCCGGCGTCGCCCCCGCCCAGCCAGGACGCGCGGGGGCCCTCGGTGCCACTTCACGCTCCCGCTCCAGCGCCGCGTCGCTCCCCGCGGCGGACGGGAACCGCGCAGGGCCGGGCCCGGCACTCCCCAGACCCCACAGCGGCCGCCAGGGCGCCGCGACAGGGGCCGGGCCCGCTCCGAGCTCGGCTCCCACCGCGACGGGGCGGCCCGGCCGGCAGAGAGCAGCCCCCGCGGCCCTAGAGCAGCACTGCCCTCCCGCCCGCTGCGGACACGGGGCCAGGGCTGTGAGGGGGCGCCCCTCTCAAACATGGCCGCCCGCCCCTCTCAAACATGGCGGACACGGGCGCAACGAGGAGCGTCCCTCACGAATGTCGCCGCGCGCCCCTCACAAAGATGGTGGACACAGGTGCACCGAAGGGGGGCGCCCCTGTTAAATATGGCCGCCCACCCCTCTCAAACATGGCGGACACAGGTGCACCGATGGGAGAGCCCCTCACGAATGTTGCTGCGTGCCCCTCTCAAAGATGATGGACACAAGTGCACTAACGGGGGGGAGGGGCCCTGTTAAACATGGCCGCCCGCCGCTCGCAAACGTGCCGGACACAGGTGCACCGACGGGGAGAGCCCCTCACGAATGTCGCCGCCCGCCCCTCTCAAACATGGCGGACACGGGCAACGAACAGAGGGCCTCACGCAAACATGGCCGCCCGCCCTTCTCAAATATGCCGGACACAGACGCACCGAGGGGTGCGCCCCTCACCAACATGGCCGGCCGGGGCCCAAGTTCTCTGAACCGCCCTCCCGCCCGTTTACGTGAAGAGTCAGCTTTGTTGGGTCACATGCCCAGGGAGCCCGGGCCGTGATTGGCCGGCTGTCTGCTGACGTCAGACGCCGCGGCGACGCGGGGCGAGGGGTGTCTGGTGCGGCTCCGGGGAAGCTGGGCCGGGGCGCGGGGCTTGGCTGCGGCGGCCCGCGCACACTCATGAGGAGCCGGAAGGTGAGAGCCCCTGGCCCGCCGGGGCTGCGCCGGGCCAAGCGGGTCTCCGGGTCGCCCGCTGTCTGGGGAACTCAGAAGGCCCCGGGACGCCTCGGGCCGAGAGGCCGCCTCCGCCTGGGCGTCGTCGCCCTGCGAGTGGGGGCTGCAGGACACGCCCCGTGGGGCGGGGCGGCTGCAGGACACGCCTCCAGGAGGCGGGCATTCTAGGCCACGCCCCCAGGAGGAGGGAGCTCCAGGCCATGCCCAAAAGAGAAGGAGCCCCTCAGACCACACCCCCAGGGGAGGGGCTGCAGGCCAGACAACACCCCCAGGAGGAGGGGGCTCCTAGTCTCCCTCCCTGAGCTAGTCAGCTTGGGTAGTGCTGGGTGCGGCTGACCCCTAGGGGGAGGCCACATGGGTGCTACTGCGCCCCAGGGGAGGTCACCTGCCAGGCCCTCAGCATGGCCTCAGTTGCCATGTGCAAGAAAATGGGGCGATGAGGGGTCCACCCCAGAGGGTGGTGGGGGTTGATGGGGTGCCAGTGCGGGGCACGTGGTGAGGGTCACTGGTGGGGACGAGGCTTAGGGAGAGAGGGGTCTCTTTGCACAGGGGACCTGACCCCGGCCCCCTGGGAGGCTCAGAGCTATGCCTGGGCTCTCCTGGTTTCTCGGACTGGAGTGACCCCTTGTGAGTTCCGACTCCTTGCACGTTTCTGTCTCTGAACCCGGTGTGTCTCCTGTAGACACCTGGATCTTTCCAAAATCCAGGCTGATTTTGATTTTGATTGAATTGTTTAGCCCGTTCACAGGTAGTGTCATTAATATACAGTAATGAGATTTATGTGTCGTTTTACTTTTTGTTTTCTTTATACAAATCTTTTTTTTTCCCCCTATTCCTCTCTTAACTGGATTAAAGTGAATATTTTATTTTGCACAAGTATTTCCTAATGTAGCATTTTAAGTTGGTTTTCTTTCGCTATATTTTTCGCTTTTTGTCCCCAGTGGTTGCTCTGTATTTTACCATATGCATCTTAATCAGCTTCAGATTTGTTCCAGTTAATTCCAGTGAGATAAAGAAATGTTACTCTTATATGTTTGTTTTCCCTTTATCCACTTTTTGTGATACTTTGTTGTATCTATACATCTGTTAATGTTACAAACTCAGTGATACAATGTTAACATTATTACTTTACCATCTGCAGTCGTTGCCTTAGCCCAAGATGGCTTTGCTCCCACGCTCCTTCTTTGTTTTGTTATTGCAAATATAGTGTATTTCTATCATATATGTATTATTGTATACAACTGCTTTTTCTTTTTTTTTTTTTGAGACAGAATCTATGTCTCCTCGTCTAGAATGCAGTGGCATCAGCATAGCTCCTGGACTCAAGCGACCCTCCCGCCTCAACCTCCCAAGTAGCTGGGACTATAGGCACACGCCACCACGCCCTAATTTTTCTGTTTTTAGTAGAGATGGGGTCTTCCTCTTGCTCAGGCTGGTCTCCTGAGCTCAAGCAATCCTCCCACCTCGGCCTCCCAGAGTGCTAGAATTACAAGTGTGAGCCACCACACCCCAGCCTACAATTGATTTTTAAATCAGTTAAGAAAAGAGAAGCTGATGCATTTAAACTATCTTTTAAGAGAACATAATTACCCTTTCTAGTCCTTTCTGGTTTTTTGTGTGGTTTTGAATTACTGTCTAGGGTCACTCACTCTCAGCCTAACTAACTTCCTTTAGCATTTTTTATAAGGTGAGTCTGCTGGCAACACATTCTCTTGGTTTTGTTTATCTGGAAATGTCTTTATTTTGCCTTCAGTTTTGAAGGATAGCTTTGCTGCATATAGGTTTCTTGGTTAACAGGTTGTTTTTTTTCTTGGATACTGAATATTCTCACCGTGTTGTGGCCTCCTTTGGTTTCTGCTGAAAAGTCAGTGAGTGGTTCATTTACTGAAGTTCTCTCCTAAGTTAGGAATCATTTTACACTTTAAGCTTTCAAGAGTTTGTCCTTATCTTTGGCTTCCAGAATTTTTACAATGATATGTCTGTCTGTGGATCTCTTTGCATTTATCCTACTTGTAATTCAGTTCATTACGATTCCTAAATGTATATAGGCTATTGTTTTTCAATAAATTTGGGATGTTTTCAGCCATCATTTCTCTGAGTATTTTTCCTGTTTCTTTCTCTCTCCTTTCTTTGTTGTTTCCAGTGCACATGTGTTGGTGCTCTTAATGGTGACTCCAAAGCTTTCTTCATTTTTCTTCATCCTTCACTCTCTGTCCTTGAGCTCGCGTGGTCTGTGGACTTAGCCTCGGGTTTGCTCCTGCTTCCTTCCAGTTCATGTCTGCTACTGAGCCTTCCCGTAAATCTTTACGTTCCAGTTATTTCACTTCTCAACTCCAGAATGCTCATGTGGTTTTGTTGTTGTTGGTTTTTTGTTTTTTTTTAATAATCTCTGTCTCTTTATTGATAGTCTCTTTGGTGCAGCATTGTCATATCTTTCTTTGTTTACGCATTGTCCCCTTCACTCCTCCACTTGCTCATAACGGCTACCGTGAAGTCTTTTTCTGAGAAGTCCAACATCTGGTCACTCTCACAGGCAGCTTCTGCCACCTGCTTTTATTCCAGGGTCAAGTTCCATGTTTCCTTGTGCGCTTCATACTTTTTTGTTGGAACCTCATCACAGACTCCACTTAGACTTGAATTCTAGGAACTTGGTGGTTCCTAGAAACGCCCACGATATGGGGGACACACCGTCCCAAAGCTCCAAGGTCACGGGAAGAGTAGCTCCTGTCCCGTGAGCCCAGGCAGTTGTGTTTGCGTCTGCACGTTCAGGCCTCAGGCGTCCTTCCACGAAGGTGGTACAACATGGGGGATGGGGTCGTCTAGGTTCTCTTTAGTTGGGAAATGTCCATGTGCGTGTGCGTGTTTTCACCCAGACCGTTTTCTGGACAAGCTCACAGGGGGAGTGCGATCTTCAGCGCGCCTGAGAGCCCGGAGCTGCACAGCCGCCGGGTTGGCCTCCGCCCAGGACGCCGCTGGCTCCACGTCGGCCAAGACAGCATGTCTGGTGAGCCTCGTTCCCACGGGGAACGCCAGGGGCCCGGCTCAGGGGTCTGCTTTTATGCAAAGTCGTCACCGCAGGACACGTTGCATGAGAGAGACACCAAATGTGGCCTGCCTGCCAGAGGGAGACCATTTCAGATGGAAAGGTGACGGTGCTGTGATTCTCGCAGAGAAAGGCCCACGGCCAAGTGAGGGGCTGCCGTCCTAGCGTTCACCCGGGGGCGGGGGTTGGGGGGGGTATGTGCCTTAGAGACCCAGGCTCGGGTCGCACCCTGCGGTCCTTCCGCCGGCAGGCAGTCTGTGAAGTGATGTTGGGCATGGCTCTCTGCCTCAGCCCTAACGGCTCCGCCAGAAAGGTAAGCAGGGCTGGGAAAGGGACCTCTTCCCGCCGCCCACTCCACGGCATGCAGCGTCCTTTCCAGGGCCTTAGTTCCATGCCTCGCTGGCACAGCAGACCTGCTCGTTCAGCCCGCGGCTTGGGGCGGGGACCTGGCCGGACACGGGCACCTGGCGCAGTGTCTCTCGCTCCTAGTTGAGAGGCTCGGCAGGATTCTGTTGCAGTGAATTAACAAGTACTTGCTGAGCACCTGCTGCGTGCCAGGCACTGTTCGGTGAATAAAAAAGCAAAGCCCCTGTCGTCCTGGAGCTCACGGTCCAAGAGGAATGGAGGAAAGCTGGGTCATTTTACTGTCATTTACAGCACATAAACACACGCTTCCGAATTAGCCTCAGGAAACATCACACCCCTGGGAAAACTGGACGCGTGGGAGTGAGGCTGGGGCGTGGGAGTGAGGCTGGGTGTGTCTAGACCCATTCCCAGCCGTCACTCTGGATTCCGTCCCTTGGGGGGGAACGGTGAGATCTGTTGCAGTTGTGGTTACAGGGCTTCCATCAGCTCGGGCGTGAGAAGAAACGCCCTGGGATGAGGCCTTCCCTTGCTGGCTGTGTCTGTTCTCCCTTACGCTCTTCTTTCTCGGCAGACCTCCTCATCACACAGAGCCACAGACAGGCGGACTTCCAAGAAGTTCAAGTGTGACAAAGGTCATCTTGTAAAGGCAGAATTACAGAAACTCGTCCCTAAAAGTGACAGTGCTGCTCTGCCAAAAGCGGCCCCCGAGGCCGGCTGCGAAACCGCGTTTGCCGAAGACGGCGCCTTGCTTCCGGGCAGCGAGGCCGGCGTGTCCACGCCACCCGAGGCCGCGGGTCCCCCGCTGGGCCGCTGCGTTGTCGCGAGTGACGCCTGCCCGGCAGAGACCGAAGACGGCCCAGCCGCCCCGAAACCCGGCGCCGACTCAGGGGCAGAGGAACCCGGCAGCGGTTCCGAGGGGCGAGAGGGAGCGCAGGCGCCGCTGCTCCAGATGGACGGCAGCGTCTTCCTGGACGACGACAGCAGCCAGCCGATGCCAGTGAGCCGGTTCTTCGGGAACGTCGAGCTCATGCAGGTAAGCGTGGCGCCGGCCTCCTCGTGTGGTGCCCAGGCAGCACGCCGCCTGCTCCCAGCCCGCTGCATGTAAATAGTGCCGAGACACAAAATTAAATGTAAGCTAGTGATTTTAGCCCAAGAGGAGGAGATGAAACATTTGCTGCTTGGGGCACTCCCTCCATCTCCTAAGCTGAGAATCTCAGGCACTGGGAAAGGCCCGGGGGGCGGGGCCTCCACCCCCACACAGCCCAGGTGTGTTTCTGTGGGCGGGGCCTCCACCCCCACACAGCCCAGGTGTGTTTCTGTGGGGCCCAGGTGTGTTTCTGTGGGCGGGGCCTCCACCCACACACAGCCCAGGTGTGTTTCTGTGGGTGGGGCCTCCACCCCCACACAGCCCAGGTGTGTTTCTGTGGGCGGGGCCTCCACCCCCACACAGCCCAGGTGTGTTTCTGTGGGCGGGGCCTCCACACACAGCCCAGGTGTGTTTCTGTGGGCGGGGCCTCCACCCCCACACAGCCCAGGTGTGTTTCTGTGCTGTGGGGTGTGTGGGTTTCGGACGTCGAGCCCACGCTGCCACTGCTGCAGATGTGGCTGCAAACCCACCCCTTCCTCCTCCTCACCTGGCCAAGCCAGCGGGGAGGAAGCTCCCGTCTGGACTCGAGTGCAGGGACTCGGGCAAGGCCAGGGCTGACGACGGGGCGACTTGCGATCGCAGGCGCCACTCGGTGCAGCTGTGACTGGAGCCCGTGTTTTCTCCCCCCAAGGACCTGCCGCCCGTGTCTCCGTCTTGCCCTTCAATGAGCAGAAGAGAATTCAGAAAAATGCATTTCAGAGCCAAAGATGATGATGACGATGACGATGATGCAGAAATGTAGAGAACAAATGCAGAGATCGGCGCCCTCATGTCCCGTGCGGTCGGCAGCCTGGCAGCGCAGCACGTTCCGAGATTTATAGAAAATGTGTCCCCGAGAGAACGTGTCCTAATCACTGCACACCTGGCCGTCAGCGCCAGGCACCAGCCCGTGCACTAAAGTCGTGGAGAAGGCAAAGCGCCGTCTGTGCCGTGTCCTTTCTTACGCGCGTGCACGCGTGACATGGCGCGCCGGCCGAGGGGCGTGGGGTTCAGCGCGGCTTTTGTGGAGACAACCCTTCGCTTCGGCTCATTAGCTTTGATGACACGCACGGTTATCTTCCATTCTCAAAATCTGATCATTGTGATTAATTCATTGCCAGTTCTTAAAGAACTCTCCTTATTTCTGTATACGAAGCTAATGTTTACCTGGGAGATTCTGCAAAATACATACGGGAAAGAAATAAAATATATTTTGAAAATATTTTGAGGGAGTCTCACGTCCGAGAGCTGTGCTCCTGTCGGGGTATGCGCGAGCCGAGCGGTGTGCACGCGAGTCTCTTCCCAGTCTTAAGTGCTCTGGCAAGGCGGGGCCCCCTCTGGGCGCATCCCCAGCGGGAGAGGCAGGAGTCGCCTTGGGGCAGGGCCCCACCCTTCTCTTGAGGGAAGCTGGAGCTGTCTCAGCTTGTGTGGTGCAGGCTGGTCGTGGGGGGCCCTGCGCCTCCCGGCTGCAGAGGTCCCAGCGCTGCCGCTGCCCCACAGGGACTGGCCCAGCCCGCATGCGCATCGAGGAGCACCCCGAGACGAGGAGCCGTTTGGGGGTGCTCCGTCCACTGCCTCTTCCTGCCGCCGCCGCCCCACAGGGACTGGCCCAGCCCGCATGCGCATCGAGGAGCACCCGTGACAAGGAGCCGCTTGGGGGTGCTCCGTCCACTGCCTCTTCCTGCCGCCGCTGCACGCGGAGGCCGGGCGGGCACCCGGGAGGAGAGAGCCTAGGTCCCTGGGTGGCCGAGGACAAGGAGGAAAAGCTGCCTGAGATGCAGAGGACCCTGGACTTTTCATGGGTGAGCAAGAGAGCCTTCCGTTTGGGGCCACTGTGCGCTCCTGGTTTAGTCACAGCAGCAGCTAGATTCAACTCTGTGAAAATGTCCGTTGAAGTACAGGGAGTGTTTTACACAACAGATAAATTAGGAGCAAAATGTAGTTGCCCTGTGAGGAATCTTTCTGCTCCCTTTCCAAAAACTGCCCTCTCTGGAAGCAGTTTCCCCCGGCAGTCACTCTCTGCTTCCAGTGTGATCCTTCCCTCAGCAGCTGTGACCTTCACCTGCTGTGAATGTCTCTGTGATTCATTGATGCATGAACTATAATTTGAAAGTGTTGCTTGTCAAGTCACTTTACGATAGCCAGGGGAAGTGACTCACAACTCGAGGTTGCTGCGGGCGTGGCTGCTAATGACAGCACCTGTCTCGGCGGTGGCAGGGCCGCCTCCAGCGTGGGGACCCTGTCACTCCCACCTGAGCTGCAGCGTCCTGCACCCGTGCCCTGCGGGAGCAAGGCAGTGTCGCCGCCCCCCAGACTGCAAAAGGGAAACTGAGGCTGCCCCTCTTCATTCCCCAGTTGTTGTTGCTTTTTTTTTTTTTTTTTTCTCGCTCTTGCTCAGGCTGGTCTCGAACTCCTGACCTAAGCAATCCTCCCGCCTCGCCTCCC